GTCCATCTTAATGAAACCAGTAACTGTATTCATGAATTAACTTGTTAAAATCTATAAAACAGAAATAATAATAATAAAAAAAAACACCCAAAGCACACATAGCTTCAACTGCACAGATATATATCTTTTTATGACTATGATTTCAATCTGCAATAACAATGTTTACAAAATAGCTTTTTGACCCAAAACATAACATTTTCAGTAAGCAGCTTTGGAGGACGCTGCTTTATATTCTATTCCTAAAACATGCATAAAGGTTTAGTTTGTCATTAAAAGAGGGAAATTATGTCATTTAACACCCCTGATTATGTTTAAGCGTAGTGATGTCCATAATGGTGTTGCTAAATCTAATGCATTCATAAGAGGGTCAGAAAAGTATCTGTTGGTTGGTATTTTGGTAAGCTGCAGGAACGAGATTCCTACTGATTAGCTGCCTGCTAATATGTTAGTTGAGAGGTTTTTAGGTTAAATAGCTCCTTTCAATTCTGTCTTGGGAATCAGTTCAAACACGTTGTCAGAGATTTGTTAACCTGATGGATATTGCAAGGGAAAAACGGTTAAACAAAATATCCATATAGTTGAAACAGGGGGATTACATTATAGTAACTGCAAGCTTCTCCAGTTAAAAAAAAGAAGAAAAAATAGTAAACCTCCTTCCAATCAAATTGGTCAAATTGATCAAAAACGTTTATTTATTTTTAGAAATACATCAAAATCATTTTTTTTATATATTCAATGGGGGGAAAAAATTATGCGATGCATTAATTAATCATATTTATTTATTTTAACATATTTTTTTCATGTTGCATAAAAGGTTGCATTTCTTTTTCATTATAATTTTTGCATGATCACTGCCAAAAAAAACCTAACCCTGTACGTCCGCTGATTCCTCTATATAACTTGTAAGACATTTAGAAGTACTGCTAGGATGGATTGTAAGTACATTCACAAAGTAGGTCCCTTTACATAGATCTTTTTTTTCTGATGTTTGTGTGTGTCCTGTTTATGAACTTTTGTTTTTCTTTTCTGCCTTATATCCAGGACCACAGAACAGTAAGAAGTCGGGCCATTAACCTTTCCCTGTGATTGGCAGGATGTGTCCCTCAGCTTCTGGAGATTCACTTTCTCCAGTTATATGAAAGGACTGAGCAGGTTCAAAGAAACAGATCATGGAACTTCAACCAAGAAATTCTTCTTTTTTTTTTTCTTTTTTTTTTCAATTATAACAACAATTAGAGTCATGTATTTAAAATGTACAGCTTTATTGAATTCTTTATTTTGCCATTTTAAAGCATAAAAAAGTCTTCTTCTGTAGCAGTTAAAATGTGAATTTTTAGTTCTTATCATGTATATCAACTGAAAGCATCTTGGGAAACTGCCTGATAATTCAGGATATATGACGTACTGCTCTGCTAAAAGATTATAAACAAATCATATCTTAGCTTTCATATATATCTAAAGGTTAAAGATCTGATTAAGGCTAGAACCAAAACAACTGGTCCTCATCAAAAAAAAAAAAGAAAAATCCAGTCTTTAATATATTGTGGCTCTAACTATATAAACCTGAAAAACCATGAACACATTTGCATTTTGAAGTTATTTCAAAGAAATTCTATTATTTACATAGGAAATAGTTACACATAAGGCCTACACCTTTCAGCTAATTACTCTGCATGAAAACAACAGCTGCACACAGATGTGAGTTTAAATGACTGCAGCTGTATCTGTCTAGTGATAGTATGTTTCTCTTTGTAAAACAAATGCTAGTTGCTATTCTATCATATTTAAGCTTAAGTTATAGAAGCGTTCAAGATCGATTAGACGATTCAATTCTAATTGCTCATAGTACCAAAGTAGAACATCCAATACTGGTGGGATGTATTTTACTGTTTGTTCATTTTAAAAATTGTCTGTATCAGGAGACAATAAACATCACAACTTAACATTCCTACATCATATTGCTACTTTTCATGCAAATAAGATATTGTAAAGAAAGGCATTTTTATTAAATGGTAAAATTCTTTGTAAAAAAAAAAATGTTTCACTAAAACAGTGTATTGAACAAAAAATGTCACTGTACATTAAATTTATGTCATTAAACATATGTCTTTTTTTTTATATATTTTTTTTTATTACAATAAAACTTGTTTTAAATATATTTCTCTGAACCTGGGGAGTTTTCACAACAAAAAAAATCTTTGTGTTTTCAGATTTTTAAATAGTTGTACAGAATATATTAGATACATAAAGAAACAAAAACAACTGTAGGTTTGGGGCAAATAATTTATAATGACTAATTATGATTTAACTTAATAATTAAGTTAAATCAGCATTTTCCAACTTATTTTATGTGGTGTTGCAATAATTTCACAAACAAAAACATGTTTTTTAAATTTGAATATGTCAAGATGGGATAAGATTTATTTAATAAAAGGTATTTGAGTTATTTCTTAATACTAAAATGTATCACATTTCATTGAATTTTTTAATATTGGTGGAGTTTTTTTTCCCCTCACCTGTAGTACGATCTTCACACTTCTTGCTTAATAAAGCCGACCCTACCATTGTTGGACTGACCTATGACAGCCATGGCAGCTACAGGCTGCGCCCCGCAACATTAACTCTTACAAACAGGAAAAATTTGATTTTTCGTAGCTAGAGCAACGGGAAGTATTAATGAGAAATAATGTAATTTTTCATGACAGAAGTTCTAAAATTAACTAATTTAAACATCTGGATTGAATTTGGATTTAGTAACCTACCTGACATTTTCATCTTTGTTCTGATTTAAAGTGTTTCTGATGAGCATCAGGGTGAACTGAGAGGTTGGAATATTCCCCTAATATGGTGCATTACATTAGGTAATGTTTACCTTATTTGCTAACCATGTATACACAATAACTTCTGCTACAAAAAGCCTTTAGTTCATCTATAACAGATGAACTGTCAGATCACGGTTTGTCTGTTAGATGAAACCCACAGAGCAGAGCACTATGGAGCCCTGGCATCACAACTGAGGAACTGTCTGATCAGCTGTGATGTAGCACATGCTAAATGATGTGATCATCTCATGTTTTTGGAAGATTTTCTTCTCACACTATGACCATTCCTCAGCCCTGAGGAAAATAAAATGATATTTGAAGATGGCACATATGTGCCAGCCAAGAAATTAGACACTAAGGAGAGATTGCTGAAGAGAGGTGAAATCCCTTGCCTTCTTTGAAGCAGCCATGACAGTTACTATCTACATCATAAGGAACGTTTAACTGAGCTAAATCTAAAGTAACCATTCTAAGTTAGCTTTATAGTTGGTGTTCCTTTTTGCTGGGAGGTTAATCTCCATCCTGTTTTTTTTCCCCGTGGCATTCAACTTTTTTCCATCACCATTATATCCCGTTTTTAGTTTCATACAGTACATGATCACATCTGCTTTAACAGGTTCACAACCCCTTCTGTAAAAGCTGAACACCTCCACAGAGAGGCATGTGGGGCCGGTGGAATATTATTTCACCATGGGAAGAGCATTTTCAGTTTGTTTTTTTTTACATGTCGGCCTTTTCGAACCAGAGAACCTTTATCAGATCCTCCAGAGT